CCAGTCCTCCTCAGTGTGAAGCCATTTCTTGCAGCCTTTGTTAGTTCTCGTGCATAGGCTTTGCCTTTAGTTCAGGTAGATCTGAGGCTCAGTCTATGAGTTAGAGGTTTGCACTTCAAGCCTCATTTCCCCGTAGTCACGTCACCCTGTAAAACAGTGGGCCCCCAAATGAGCCATTATTTTTGTTAGCCTCCTAAAGGTGGGCAAAATGAATAGCCTCAGAAGAGGTCTTCAGTGGTGTTAGACTTCTGTCCTGATACAGCGGAGCCCATGGAGAGAGCCCAGTGGAGAAGCAGAGGAGCTGAGAGACTTGGGCTCAGATTTGATGGGTTTGCCCGAAAGGTGGAAAGACTGGGATTAGGTGTGTCAGACTCTGATCTACTGATGAGGCTACTGAGGAGACCTCAGAGTTGGGAGGAGAGCTCTGCAAGAGGAAGGCACCTCGCATCCTCTGTAAAAGTCTGGGAAGAAGCAGGACTGTCGGTATTGGATCCAAGTCTTGTTCTCTCCATAGACTTTGATACACTTGCTGCTTAAATGCACACTCAACTCCCCAACTCAGAGCCATGCCACTGGGTACGTTTATTCGTCTTCATAAGTTGGGCCTGAGAATCGCTGCAGACTTTCACATAAAGTTCTCAGCAGTGGACCTGCCTGGACAGTTTTACAGCTTTTGAATTGTCTTTGATGATGTGCACCTTTGGTTACATTTGTGTATATTTTGTCCATTACTTTGTCAAATATTTCTTCCATCCCTGATGCCCTATTCATTACTTTTACCTAAACTTTTTCCCCCATCTTGCTTTTCATACTGGATAATTTCTGTTAATCTAACTTTAAGCTCATTGAGTTTTCCTCTCATCTCCATTCTACATAGACCAGCTAGTGATTATTTTACTTCAGATGCTGTGTTTTTGTTGTTGTTTGTTTGTGTGTGTTTTTATTTTATTATTATTATTATTTTTGGTACTGTGGATTGAACTCGGGTCCTTGCGCTTGTGAGGCAGGTGGCGCACTACTGATAGATGCTATAGTTTTCAATTTTACATTTTCATGTAGTTTCTATTTTCTGAAATTTCTTACCTTTTAATTTATGATGACCTTACTGGCAAGTGTTTTGTTTTTGTCACTGGCATAGTTAAATTAATAGCTTTGAAATCCTTATCTGGTAAATCCAACCTCTGGGTTTTCTTGAAATTGGTCTCCATGATTATACTTTTTTCTTGAGCAATGGCCACATTTTTCTGAATGCATGTCAAGTAATTTTGGGTTGGTTCTGGACATTGTGAATATTGTGTTGTGGAGACTCAATTATTTTAAAAAATTTCCTCTGAAGAGCACTGTTTATCAGGCAAATATCTGATTAGACTCAAAATGTAAATTCCTTGTCCTTGGTGGCTGCTCAAATCTCAGTTCAGTTCTCTGCCCTTAGTGTGGTTGTCTGAAGTCTCCATATGCATGAGGTCAAATGGAGACTGAGTCCAGCTTTATATAGAATTCTGGCTTTTGACCTTTGTCCTCTTCCCTCCTTTTTTTCTTCTTTGCTACCACACGTAGTTGCCTCACATTTGATCCTCTGTTTCTTGGTTCCAAAAGAGAATGGAAAATACTTTCCTCTTGGGTGCGTGACCTGGTGCAGAGTAAAGCCTTTGGGGTAGAAGCTTTGCATCTCAAGCAAGTAACAGGAACTTAGCCTGTGAAGACTTAGCGTGGTGCCGATTCCTTCTCCCACCCTCCCCAAATCGGCCCTTTTCATTTCTCTTTAGTGCGCTCAGGTTAGTTTTTAAATTTTGTTTTTCCCAGACGTTAGCCTCTGCCTTAGCAGCATTTGAGGAGCGAGAGCTAGAGGAGCAGTGAGTCTGTGTAACTTGAATCTTGGGGTGCAGGTACTAGAATCCTGTCCCTTTCCGTGAGGGTAAGGAGGACTCTGTGTTCCATCATTATCAGGGCCAGGGATCAAGCCCTGTGTTCAGCCAAGGGCTTTATCTCAGTGGCCTGGGATAGGTTCCCATCTTGCCTGGAATGGACATTTTAAAAAACATTCCTCTGAAGGGCATTGTTTATCAGGCAAATACCAATTAAAAAAACTGTTGCCTGGCCCCTTTGTCATGGTGAAAATCTGCATTTCCCCCTTGTAGTCCCATGATCCTAGTTAGCTTTTGGGCTGCTTCCTCTTTTCTGCACTCAAATTCTTGTCAAGCACCTTTCTTTAGCTTTGCCAAATGACTTGAAGTCAAGTTGTTATGACTTCCCCAGCAGGACCACTTCAACCTTTACTTAACTCTGGGTTTAACTCTTGGCCTTCCATGCTATATAACTTTTATAGCTGCTTACCTAAAAGAAGCTGAGGTCTTTGACCAACTTTTTTTTCTTGGTTCATAGTCATAGAGGGCACAAGTACAGGAAGAGAAGAGGAGATCCAGTGTTCTTTAAAAAAAAAAAAATCTGGTCAATTTGAGCAATTTTTGGGAAGAATAAAATGCTTTCTCGTGAACTCAAAGACTGAGAGATTATGTGTGACTGGGGACGTGCAGTTATATTGTGGTTAACGATAGGTTTCTGTGAACGTTCTCAACATAAAAACATAATGAGGAAACATAAATTCTGATTCAATTCTGTCTTAAGCTCCAGCAACTATTTTTGGGTAAGGACTAAATGAATCAAGCTTGAAATTAAAAATTTTTTTCTCTTTTCAGAAGATACACCCTCCCATAATTGTTTGTCATAGTTGTAACCAACCAGTAAATTTAACCATAGATGTTCCCTTGCACAGGAACTTGTATTTTGTACTGCAACAATTCATTACCCAAACATGGCTAGCAAGGATTTCACTGCATTTGCTTTGGGCTTTGAGAAACCAACTGTTGGACGGTCCTTGTGAGCCTCTGTTCGTTTTTGGCCAGTGGAAGTGGCAGGAGAAGGGGGCATTATGTGTGCTTCCTTTGTGAGAGAGCTTGCAGCCAGTGAGGGAAGATTCCCACGGTGTCTGTGAGAGGAAGTGGGCTCATCGGTGGGAGTCATAGTGGCAGAGGGTGTGTGGCCTGCAGTGCAGACCCTGGACATGGCAGGCCTTGGACATGGCAGGCCTTGTCTGGAGAGAACTTGGGTGCTCTGGGATCAGTGGAGGCTTCCGTGTGGCAGCCCAGACTCCCAGTTTCGTCCCTCACGCTTGCCTTCGGCATCTCCTGAGAGTTCTTGGCCTGAGTGAAGGCGGCCAGTGGCTTGGGTAGCCGTCGTCAAACATGGCTTTATGAAGGCTTCGAGGTGTGTGGTTTCAGGTCTCCTTGAATTCTCAGTCCAGCCCCCAGGATGTATGTTCAAGTCCTGTGGGAGCATTTCCTTCAGAGCATCATCGCCTTTCAGATGGAAAGCTGACTTTCCAGTGGACTGGTTTCCAGACAGGCAGTTTTGGGTCTTTCCATTTATCTTTGTAGTCTGTGGCCTTCCACTCTCCATTCCCTGACTCACTGCTGGACAGGACTCCAGGGTGAGGTACTCCATCACCCAGAAGGGTATGAGGTGGGGCGGACTGGCTTCTGCCTCCATAAAGCCCACACACCGGCTGCCTCCACACGGCTCAGTGTCACTGGCTCTCTCGCTGATTGCCGGTGGTGAGGCCCCGGGAAGGCAGCCCAGGCTGGGGGCCCCGTTCCTGTCACTAAGATATATTCTAAGATCTACCCGGAGGGTATTATGGGAGTTCAAATGAAGCATCTCCCACTTCCCCCTCAGAGCCCTGGAGAGACTGGTTGTCCCTCTTGCCATCCCACCAAGCGTTTTCAGGATCCAGTTTGGGTTTATTGACAGCCCTGAGTATAATTCATGCAAGACAGGTTACAGCAAAGCGTGTTACCTTTGCTAGTCAAGCATGCTCAGTTGTGCTACTCCAGATCTCGGCCGGGAAGTAAGTTTTATTGGTGTTCAGGCCTAATGTTTTCCTGTCCGGAAACCTTCCCCTCCCTCGGGGAGGCTGCTTTGGCAAACACCACCAGGGAAGCTTCCTTCTCCGTGTCCAGTGGATGAATGGGTTCCAGGCGAAAGCAGACTGTTGAGTGAGGCAGAAGCCCTGTGTGAGGGTGGAGCCGGGCAGTGGGAAGCCGAGACTGAACTGCTGGGCAGCACAGGCCGAGCTGACCGCATGTGGCCAGGACGGCTCCGGGTGGCACAGGACACGGGGGGGGGGCCCTTTTATAACGGTGCAAGGACTTGCGTAGGGACCACTTTCCACTTGGTGGAAGTGGTCCTGCTTTTCAGATCCACTCTTCTCCTTCTGTCTAGTTAGTGACTACAGGGAGCCGGGCCTCAGCACCTTCGTACATGCATGTAACATACGTTGGTGGCAGCCACCCCGTGTCCGCCCTTTGGCCCTGCTGTGTGAATACTCACTGCAGTCACGGGGCACTGACAGCACGCGGCAGTGAAATGGGACTGAGGGTCTCCAGTTACTTTGCTTGTTTCTCTCCTGGGTTTTCTGTAAGGTCAAGCAGAAGAAGGAGGTATGTGTGAGCACAAGTAGACAGGAGGGTGGAGGAGTATAGAGAAAAAGCGGGGAGTACCTGACAGCCCCTGAGGGAAGGGGCGGGAGAGGGGCCCTGCTGAGCAGTTCCCAGTGTCAGTGGGCAGCTTGCGAACTGTGCTGGGAAGTTGGCTTTTATCTGGAAGATTCTTTAAACTGGAGAGAAGAATGATGTGACTTTCCACTTAGAGAGTTTATTCCGGTCACACCATGGGTGTTGAAGTAGACGTGACAAGAACGCAGGAAGAAGCAGCGAGGTCAGCTGTCGGTGACCCGAGTGAGAATGGTCAGGGTCTGAACCCAGGGGGAGGGAAAAGCCGGTGACACCCAGGTGCCCAGCTTCCTCCGGAGTCGGCAGTGGTGGAGAAGAGCAGGTGGGGGAGAGGCTGAGAGCGACTTCCCAGCAGATGTTCGCAGAGCTGGGCTGAACGGGCAGCCTTGCCCCACACCGGGTCCCAGTGACGTGTTCTCCTTCTTCCTCCAGGAGGGATTTCGGGCCTCACAGAGCGGTGCCAGTGAAAGTCCACCAGCCCGAGCCGTTCGTCCCCAGTGAAGAGAACATGGACTTGCTCACGACGTATAAGCAAGATTACAACCCCTATCCTGCCTGCCGAGTGGGCCCCATCAGGCCTCGGGACAGTAAATACCCCTGCCGTGACAAGATGGAGTGTCTGCCCTCGTACAAAGGTGGGGGGCGGCGAGGGCGGCCAGCGGGCGGGCGGGCGTGTGACCATCCTTCCGGGGGACGGGCAGCTTCCTGCAGCTGCTCCCGACCAGCTGGAGAGCTCAGAGTGCCTCCAGAGCTGTTAAGTGTTTGAAAAAAATCAAAAGATGATTTCAGGATGCGTGAAAGTTTTGTGACATTCGAAGTTCATTGTTCATAAGTATGTTTCAGTGGAACACAGTGATTTAGGCATTATTATTCGTTTATGCATTGTCTGTGGCTACTTTCTTGCAACAGTGGCAAAGTGGAGTGACCATGACAGAGGCCTTCCAGCCTTCCTGACCTAAGACAGGTGACTATATATATATAT